AAGCCTAAGAGATATCGGGCGAACCATGAACAATGTCGCGAGAGCCGAGGCGCCGTCGAGTCCATCAATGTGTCATCGGTCTTTTCAAGTGCATAGTTTCGTAGAAAAGACCTACGTGACCCTGGCTACGAGTGTCTGCAGAACACGTGTGCAGTGGGCCTAGCAAAAGACAAGAGAATGCTACAACGGCCAGAGAGTTAGTCGAGAAGCAGAGTTTGCGAGTGGCGTTGCCGAGAGAGTGTTGATTGCATTTTGTGAAAGTCGAGTCGGTATCTAATTATTTAGTTGTGCTCTTTTCTGTACGTTTGGTGTGAATAGTTCAGGTTGAACAACAATCGTCTTTTTCTGTCCGATTAACATCTGTATCATCCATTCCTTGTAAATATATTATATCACGATATTACACATATTTTAAGCAAACATAAAGAATTCTCTCAATTTAAACAATATCTTTTGTAGAAAAGAATAACTAATAGAATATTCATACATAACTACTTAATAAAATTAATAAAATTACTTAAATCTACTTAATAAAATTAAGAACAAATATCACTTTATACGTTTAACCAAAATTAAATTTCGAGGAAGGAAATGTTAAAATTCTTTCCAAATAAAAATTTCCAGAATCAAATACGATATGAATATCCTCTTTTCACACAAAAATTCCATAACATATTTAATGTAATACTCCTAATATAACATATACAATCAAAAATACACTTTACCTAATAAAGAGAAAGACTCACTTCCTCTTTATTTCACAATTCAATGCCCAAAATCTTAGAAATTCTTTTGAATGTTCAAAATCATTCCATGAGAACAATGCTAAAGTTGTTACAAGAGAAACTCAGTACTCACAAATCGACAGCAAACGGCATCATTATTTATTCTCAGCAGTATTTGAAAAATCATTAAAGTCTCTTCTCAAGTACAGTTTCCAGCGCATCGTGCATCGGAATGCGTCTTCCTAATCTCAACTACTAGCATTTTCATCGTCAGCTAACCATGTATACGATGCTCGTCTGCTTACAGTTTCGACACAAGGACGCAAAGCACCCTGGAACAAGGGAAACACTGGCAGGATATCAGCCTCGACAAACGTGCCTTTTTCAAATACTCGGAGAAACCCGCGAAACTCATCCTCGAGTCTGTCCGTGAGAGTGACGCCGCCGTTTACAGATGCAGGGTCGATTTCAAGCAATCCCCGACCAGGAACAGCAAAGTCAATCTCACGGTGATCAGTAAGTGTTCAGCAGATCAGGATCTTTGCCTCGTGGTTGATCCTTCTCCGCTTGTTTCTCCCTTGCATTTATTTCTTCCTTCCCCTTTCTATTTTCAGGCACGACCTAGGCGCGAAATATTTAAATATTGAGAATATAGAAATCGATAATGTATTCTATGTTATATCGATACTATGTTATAACGTTCATAGAGTTGGTTTGCTACAATAATGATATAAATTAATGTCTTATGGAATAAAAGCTAAAATTTATGTTTGAGACAAAAAGTTATTACCAATTCATTGATTTTTTAACAATGGAAATATTTTGTTCCATATTTTTCTGTGTATAATATTTGCGAGCTTTTTGTTTATGTTTTTTGAAGATTGGGTTGAGATAGAAAATTATTAATTAATTTTTTACTATGCAAAAGTTTCGCTCCACACCCTTTCACTATATAATACTGCAAGAGATCATTTACAAAAATCTCCATTTCGATTCTATATCTTTATACTATGCTATATATATTTATTTATATCTATAGAAATACGAAATTGTATAAATGTTTACAGCCTAATGACAAATAGACATATTGATACTATAGAGCAGCAGTATATGTTGCATCCCTGATGGTCCCTACAAGAATATATATGTCAAAAAGATATTCCAAAAAGATTTTAATCACAGATAAGAAGCTCATATCAAGTTTCGTTCACTTTGAAAATTTTGAAAATCTTTTTCTGTTTCATCCTCTGGTCCTCCTTTCATTGCGTATTTCATCCTTTGCGCTGTTTTCCCTTGTATCCTCTACTATATATGTATTTCGTCTGTCCCTTGTGTCTGTCCGTTTCATTCTCCATTAATCTTCTCATTCTTCCGTTTCCTCTGCTTTGAGTCCCCTGCATCCATTACTTCCTTTTGACACAGTAATGCAATATCTTCAAGTCTTTGTCTTTGCTTGCTTGTTTATTACGTTTCCTTTTTTCTTATAGCCCCTGCACCCTTGTTCATTTGTGTATCCGTCGTCGTGCTCTTTCATTTCTCATTCTGTTATTCATTATTCCTTCCTTTTCTCATTTTTCATTTTAATATGTAGAAGAAGTCTTACAACATTTACCTTCTGTATTATCAACTTTTATGTTTGCAGTGTCAGATATTTTTATTGTTTTCTTTTTTTTTTTGTATTTCTTATTTGCGCATATTTATACATTTATGGGAAAACTAAAACTAATACTACAAATATGACAAAATTAATATATGCTCCCAATGAGATCGAGGCATAATTACATATAATTATTTTATTTTCATCATATTACTTTAATTGTGATTATTCATAGTATATTTAAGAATAAGATTGTTTTACAACGGGAGTCGTAAATTCCGGTTACGATTATAACAATCGACACCACGAATTAATTTCCCCTGATTTCCGTTGAGATAATAGGGGTGATTGAGGTTGTATAACACTGTGGTTCACAGAATTATAAGTTATATATTTCCAACACTTAGATTACATTGATGAGCATAGGTAAATAGATAATCACTTATCGCACGAAGATAAGATAGATGTGTACGTTACAGCAAGGCTCTTATAATTGGATTTAGTGTATTAGTGGACGTAGCACTATAATATATTTAGTAGAGGAGATGTATGCTCGACAATACCGAGAACCGATTCTCGCGTTATGCTTAGACTTAGTAGTTGACTTTTCCAACGATGTAGAAGAAGTGAAGTTGAGTGACGATGCTGTGTCGGAGCAAAGCTAGTGATGGGTGTGTCTAGCGCACGGAACCATTGTTCATTTTAGGTCAGGAAGTGAGGGCAGTATACATTGCCTCGGATTGGACAAACGAAGGTTGGTGGACTAGGAAGGGTCTTAACCACCCTCGATAGAAAGTTGCTAGTAGGAAGCATCGTACGTGAGAAAAACTAACTTTCCCGTGTCAAGCCGTAGTAAACAATAGTCTTTAGAAACTGATTTAGAAAAAGACATTTGTTGGGTCTGAAGGACCTTAGCAGGCAAGTTATTCGGGTTTATGACGGGTGCTTAAGGCTATTGAGGGTACGCCGTACGGAAGAGCGGACATCTGGTGTCCGTCTAGCCCGCGGTGTGTGACCTGGGCCAGGCAGAGAGTCGCCCGGCGTAACAAAGATTATTTGTAGTATATTTAAGTTCGCGTTAGGGGTTGGTTAGGGGCTAATGTCAAAGATGTAATGATATATGGAATGAACATATTATACAGAAATATACTACAGAGAATGTTCAAAGTAACTGTTTAAATTCCATTCCTTTCGACATACATACTCATAGAATTCACAAAAATATCCTTCTAATAAGGCATAGTACATTTAAAATGAATACTTGTTATAATATTACCACATTTAAAATGCAAATATTATTATAAATTACAAAATTGTCTTATTGTAGCTTGTATTAATATTTTTTACTTCTCCATTCTTCATGAAAAAAGGGTATAATATTTAGTGGATGAAACAAATCTGTGCTTAGATTTCATTTCTTTATTCAGCCATCATAAAAATATGAATTTGCATAAATATTCGCCATTTACTGATACGATTCTACATACATGTTTTTACAGTTTCCATTTGTATTTTAAAATAAAAGTTCCGCGCCACTCCGTGTATTTGTATTTGTATTTGTTCGCATATTTCGCCATATCTCTGGTGATTCCTCATATATTCTTCTTCAACACGCAACTTGCATTCTGCCTTATTCCCTCCGTCCATTGTTTACTTTTTTAATACGTGTACAGAAAAGTATACAGCAAGTCGGAATGTCATAGAAACATAAAAGAGAAATAAAAAAAAAGGTGCAGTCATTCGTATTCCTGTCAGTACACTCAGTTCGCACTTCTTTTCTTGATAAATCCCTAACTTTTCCTCTTACCTCTAACCGCCTCTTTACTCTTCCTCTAACCGCCCGCTTCTTTCGTCTACACCTACGCCATTTCCCTCTTTTTCTCCATCTTATCAATTACACACTTCTCGCTAAGCAAACTGGGCGATACATAAACTACACTTCTATTTCTCTGTGTTTCCTGTTTTAATCTTCCAACTAACGAAATCTCGTTTAATGATCTTTTTATTTTTCTTCAATTTTCTTCCTGTGCTGTGTTGTATAAAGCGTAATTTTATTTCTTCGTCGTTTTTTGTTCTCGACGTCAAAAATGTCTCTTTCGTATATACTTTTTTCGTATTCTTGGGATTTTTCTGACTAATAATTTTTGGATATATCTTCTCGTTTAAAGATTCATCATATTATCCTACGTCTTCACCTTTAGAAAACAATAAGATTTTATTCCTACATTCTTTTGTACAATAATTTGCTCGCGTGATAATTGTTTTCTAAAGTTTCCTTTATTTCACGCTACTTAGATTAAAATAATATCTTTTTTTGTTTCCTCTCTTTCAAGTCAAGAAAATCTCTTATTTGTAGTATATTTAAGTTCGCGTTAGGGGTTGGTTAGGGGCTAATGTCAAAGATGTAATGATATATGGAATGAACATATTATACAGAAATATACTACAGAGAATGTTCAAAGTAACTGTTTAAATTCCATTCCTTTCGACATACATACTCATAGAATTCACAAAAATATCCTTCTAATAAGGCATAGTACATTTAAAATGAATACTTGTTATAATATTACCACATTTAAAATGCAAATATTATTATAAATTACAAAATTGTCTTATTGTAGCTTGTATTAATATTTTTTACTTCTCCATTCTTCATGAAAAAAGGGTATAATATTTAGTGGATGAAACAAATCTGTGCTTAGATTTCATTTCTTTATTCAGCCATCATAAAAATATGAATTTGCATAAATATTCGCCATTTACTGATACGATTCTACATACATGTTTTTACAGTTTCCATTTGTATTTTAAAATAAAAGTTCCGCGCCACTCCGTGTATTTGTATTTGTATTTGTTCGCATATTTCGCCATATCTCTGGTGATTCCTCATATATTCTTCTTCAACACGCAACTTGCATTCTGCCTTATTCCCTCCGTCCATTGTTTACTTTTTTAATACGTGTACAGAAAAGTATACAGCAAGTCGGAATGTCATAGAAACATAAAAGAGAAATAAAAAAAAAGGTGCAGTCATTCGTATTCCTGTCAGTACACTCAGTTCGCACTTCTTTTCTTGATAAATCCCTAACTTTTCCTCTTACCTCTAACCGCCTCTTTACTCTTCCTCTAACCGCCCGCTTCTTTCGTCTACACCTACGCCATTTCCCTCTTTTTCTCCATCTTATCAATTACACACTTCTCGCTAAGCAAACTGGGCGATACATAAACTACACTTCTATTTCTCTGTGTTTCCTGTTTTAATCTTCCAACTAACGAAATCTCGTTTAATGATCTTTTTATTTTTCTTCAATTTTCTTCCTGTGCTGTGTTGTATAAAGCGTAATTTTATTTCTTCGTCGTTTTTTGTTCTCGACGTCAAAAATGTCTCTTTCGTATATACTTTTTTCGTATTCTTGGGATTTTTCTGACTAATAATTTTTGGATATATCTTCTCGTTTAAAGATTCATCATATTATCCTACGTCTTCACCTTTAGAAAACAATAAGATTTTATTCCTACATTCTTTTGTACAATAATTTGCTCGCGTGATAATTGTTTTCTAAAGTTTCCTTTATTTCACGCTACTTAGATTAAAATAATATCTTTTTTTGTTTCCTCTCTTTCAAGTCAAGAAAATCTCGTTTACCAACTTTCTTCGCCAAATAATCTTTGTAATTTTCTCCTTGTTTTCAAGATACGCAAACTATCTCTTTTTCTTTTTTCAAGATCGATGAAATTTCATTTAGCGATCTTTTTTCGTTAAACTTCTTCGCCTAATAATCCTTTTCAAACTTTCTCTTACCTTCATATTACGCAAACTGCTAATTTATTCCTCCTTTTCCTCCATACCAAACACAGCCTGTTTATTCATTTTTCTCCTCAAACTTCGTTTCCTAATAATTTTCGAAATTTCTCCGTGATAGACACGCCAGTTCTCGTCCAAATCAGCTTTTATTATTCTTTTATGTAGACGCTTTATGCCTCATTACAGTAGTGATTTTCAACCTTTTCCACCTCGTAGCACGCATAAACTGATCACTAAAATTCTGTAGCACACCAAAATTACATTTGTGCTAGTGTGTTTACAAGTACTGTTTCTTGATAAGGGTGTAATAAATGTTTAATATGACTTCCTTGTGTATGAAAGCACATTTCAACTCTATGAATAACATTTTTGGTAGCTTCTGTTAATATTATCCGAGATATTAATGATGCTTCAGTATCACATTCTAATAATGAATAACAACAAGAGATCAGTAGCATTTAACGTACTAAGTGGTAACAATAAGAAATATTTGTAAACGCAATGGCACATAATATTCCAAATAACTGTTTCATTAGGAGCCTTGTATGACCTTGACGGTTATTGTATGGCACGTGAATGAATTCGCCTTGACACATGCTTTCGTATGACATAAAAAATATACAGTACTATATTAAAAAAATTAAAGGTCACCGTCGTTTCTTCGAAAATGTTGTAAACATAAAAAAATGATGATGATGATGAGGCTATTATATTGGTCGTAGAAAACTACAAAACTCTTTCCTCTTTATTTATTCCTAATGAATTCCATTTACAAGAAAAACACTGGCTAAGAATTACGTGAACATAGCCTGTACATCTAGAGACGTCAAGTAATAGTATACAGATTACAAGAGAACGGACTTATTGTCTATAAAAATCAATAGTCATTTTAATGAAATTTCAAAATGTCTTATACGTATAACATATAAAACATTTCTATAGTAACTGTTCAAATACTTTCGTAAGCTAGTACATGTGTAGAGGACTTGTGTAGAGGATGGTTGACCGTGAGATTTACTAGATTTTATTGCTCGTTGTCGTAACCGTCGAATATATTTAAAATACCAAATTAGTATACAGACTATATTCGCTGAGACGCTCGTACAGAGTATAAATCAAAAGAGTATAAAGCAAAGAGTATAAAGCAGAGTATAAAGCAGAGTATAAAGCAAAGTAAAATTGCTAATTAATACTCAGTAAATGCTCGCTAGATAATCGTTGATAACTCGGCAGACAGCTCATCGATACAGAAAGATACTCCTAGATACTGATAGATACTCACTCGAATAATAACTCGGATAATCTCTTGGACAATAACTGCGAGCTCGCGATCACGTCCGTTTATTTATACCGACCGGGGGAGAGTCGGAAAATCCAAATTCGTCTTTATTCGACGGTTGCATGTAGCGGCGACCTTGTTTTGCCCGGAGTTTATTTATCATTACGTTTCATGCGTCAAGGCTGTGTGAATGTCCCGAGGCAAAACAACAACGTGAGTCGCTCTCGATTCGCGTCGTCCTTTGACTCCTGTGTCATGTATATGTATATGTAGAAGCATCAAGTAATAATACACAACAGTACATCAGATAATATATAGCTTGCAATAAAACATACTTATTGCCTATCGAAAACAATAATCATTATAATAAAATTTCAAAATGTTTTATATGTATAACGCATGGAATATGCACATAAAATTTTTCTATAGTAACTGTTCAAATATACTCATAAGCTAGTATGTATCTAAAATGTATAGGCATTAAGTAATAGTATATGGACTATAACAGAACATACTTGTTGTGTATCAAAAGCACACAAAATATTTTGTTCTTCTTAATTCATCTTCCTCTTCACCCATCTCTTCATACCTGTTCTTCTAGCAAAACTGCTTCGAGAATTCACTCCCTCTGCCTTCGATCCTGTTGGAGTTGATCGAGGTTTGCCGACCGTTCTTCGCAATTAGCCCGAGCAAACAGAGAGTGGATTCGACCTTGTTGACCCGGATCTACGGTTCAGCAAGCGACGATTAAGGCGAGTTTTATCTGAAAGCCGTCACGGATTGGGGGGGGGGGGGGGGGG